GGTTGGTAAGGCGCAACGGCATTAGATGTTGGCGAATATACAGCTCGTTCATACGCCCTTTCCACAACTCCACAGGCTAAATAAAGTTGGGTGATTAGCAAAATATATGACTATGAATCGAGTCCAACATACACATTAATATACAAACACACACACACACATATATATATATATATATATGGATAAAACAATGACATTTTACATGCAACACCCTTCAATAAAATGATATTTTCACGTACTTGCTATTAAGCTAATGTTAGCTCAACTTAGTGCAGCTGATGGTGTTAACTAAGGATTATTAAATATGTATATATGTTTATAAATGCACCTAATACAATAACAAACGATGACACGTAAATGCATAGTTGTGATAAGGCCAACGGTTTAATGGAATATCCCAGTTTCGAATCGTGATGGGGATGCTTATTATACCCAGGTGATATCAAAAATGCAGAACGTTCTAGATATTAAAACCTTTCTGAGGCCATAGCTAAATGAAGCTCAATGACACGACGAGGCATACTTGTTTCATTGTGGAAAAATGTAAATATCAGTATTTATATTACATTAGGCAATTTATACTGGTTGAATAGGTTAAAGTAATTATATAGCATAGGCCTAGACTCACCATGTTTCAGCAACCGGTGCATCTCCCGGGTATTTCCGGGCAGACGAAAGACACGTAATTGAGGCGAGCGGGTTGATCGTGTTAGCAGAGAGCGCGCAAAAGTAAGCAGGCCACTATCTGGACAACCAAGCGTTTTCTCAAGTGTCTCGAACACATCAGGTTTGCAAGTCATACTGTTGGAGCTCGATGATTGGAGTTCCCTAGCCGGGTTAGCTAACGAGTTCATTAGTGATAGCTTGCCTTGGCCAGTGGGTGAGGTAGCAGCGATATTGTGGTCCAGAGCAGAAGTAGAAGCAGAACTTGGCTGGATTAAGCGTCCGGCACCCCATGAGGAAATTGGTACCGAGTTGATAGCCAACACCTGATCGCCTATTCTTATCTGGTTCAAGCCCCTAAAAGCTGCCTGCACTGAGAGGTCTGTTACGAAAATTCCCCTCGCCGGAACTAAAGAGTCGTTTTGATCATTTGCTGGTGGAATTGTAATAGCAGAAAAGAATAACAAATTTAGCATCTTGCAACACCCTTCAAGAAAAAGTTCTTTTTACACACTTCCTTTTAAAATAAGTTTAGTTCAACTTAGAGCAGCTGATGGTACTTAACTAAGGATTGTCAAAAATAGGCGATTAAATAATGTATTACTATTGATTATCACTAACGTAGAACAAGTGCATTGCACAATGTGAGCCTTTTAGTAGCACTATTATA